AAGGCCTTAAGACCGGATATGGGCTATAATACATTAGCCAACTTTCGAATAGAAAAGAAAATTGGTCGCGGGCAATTTAGTGAAGTTTATAGAGCAGCCTGTCTCTTGGATGGAGTACCAGTAGCTTTAAAAAAAGTGCAGGTAAGATGGTTTTAATTATATGTAAATCAATGTAAAATTATACTATGTGAATAATAAATGCAGGAAAGTATGTCCTAAATGATTGGATAATGACAGTCTTGAGAATGCTAGAAAGGAATAAAAATTATACTTTAAAAGCTTGAATTGAGTGTAGTACACAGTAGAAATTAATTTTTAATTTTAATATTACTTCTAGGCTTTAAAAATTGAGCTGGTTTTGTTCACCTAGATTCAGTAATGACTGGAATGATCCTAGAAAAGCTTTTACAACTCTAGATTTTAAGAGGCAGATTTGAGTTATCACCACCTGCTCCTAACTGGACATGTAACTAGATGTCACATCCTTAGCTGCTAGGCCTCACGATAGGAAAGTAGATTTTACAAAATGTATTGCCTGAAGTTATTAAGTGGCATTCAGGATTAGGGTGGGGTGTTAAATTAATGTGGGGAACCACAGTGGCAATAAATGAAAGAAAAATGAAGTGAGCTTGATTTACTGGAAAATTACAAAAAGAATGAAGTAGATGCAAACAGAGGATTGATAACCTGTTTGAAATTTTCCGTCTTGTATTTGTATCATTCTGGAAGCAGTTTTGCTCTTCAGTCCTGACTTTTTGTCTTGTTTCCCTCAGATTCGTTTTTCTTGCTCCAGCACCCCTTACAAGTCCTACCCTAAGTCTAGCGTCCTAGTTCCACTGAAATGTACTTGCCAGAGCCCTAGAAGTTTCACTTGTCCTAACGAGTCTAGAAAGTGTAACTTCACTTGCCCTCTGGTCTAGACAGTACTTGTTTTTCTGCCTTAGAGTATGTTTGACATCATTCAGCTTTGCTTCGCATTTTTCACATAAGGTAGTTATTGTTCACACTTGCCCATGGACTTCCCATTTGATTCCACAACCCTGATATATCTTCTGTGTAGTGACCTGTGAGACCAAAGTTTCCTCTTATTATTTTTTTTGTAACTTTGTAACTTCTTTACATATACATACATATATATGTGTGTGTGTGTATATACATATATATATGTATGTATATATAAATATTTATTTTGAAAGAGAGAGAGAGAGAGAGGGAGAGAAAGCATGAGCGGGAGAGGGGCAGAGAGAGAGGGAGACACAGAATCTGAAGCAGGCTCCAGGCTCTGAGCTGTCAGCACAGAGCCTGATGTGGGGCTCGAACCCACGAACCGTGAAATCATGACCTGAGCTGAAGTTGGACACTTAATTGACTGAGCCACCCAGGCACCCCTTTTTTGCAACTTCTTAAAGGATCAGTATACTTGGCAACAGCTATTATAGAGATGAGCAGTTTTCACTTACGTTTTTTTTTTTTCAACTTTTTTTTTTTTTTTTTTTTTTTTTTTTTTTATTTTTGGGACAGAGAGAGACAGAGCATGAATGGGGGAGGGGCAGAGAGAGCGGGAGACACAGAATCGGAAACAGGCTCCAGGCCCTGAGCCATCAGCCCAGAGCCTGATGCGGGGCTCGAACTCACGGACTGCAAGATCGTGACCTGGCTGAAGTCGGACGCTTAACCGACTGCGCCACCCAGGCGCCCCTTCACTTACGTTTTTAAGGAAATGTTAAATGTTTATAGAAGACGTTATGTGGCGCATATTAGATATAAAAAAATAATAGAAATGCTCTCATATCCATCACCTGGCTTAAGAAATACAACATTAGAAAAAATTTTTGATCTAGATTTGCTACTCCCTTCCCTCAGAGGTAACCATATCTGGAATTTTGTGTTTTAACATTCCTTTGCTTTTCTTTATAGTTTTCCCCACATCTGTATAAATATCTAAATAAATCTATTGTTTGCTTTGCGTTTTTTGAACTTTATATAACTATTGTCACCTGTTCGTGCATGTGACTGTTATGTCATATTCCATTGCTCTTGTTACACGCTGCTTGCTGTTTGGGTTGTTTATAAGTTGTTTACTATTATAAACAATACTTTGTGGTTTTCTTAAGTGCCTTTCCTGGTACACGCATGCCAGTATTTCTCTTTTGTGTATGCCTGGGAATGGAAATGATGAGCCACAGGGAATGCATGTGGTTGGTTCTCTAAGTTGATACCGGGTTATTTGCCATAGTGGGACGGGTTGACTTTCACCAGCAGCTTATGAGAGTAGCTTATGAGAGTGTTCTTTCTTTTTATATACCACTTACAGCTTAAGAAAAATAGAATATAGAATGCAGATATTAATGTTCACAAAGCAGATGTCTTTGGAAGGACTATTCCCTTACAAAAGAACTCTTTGACCCATTTTAAAAATGTATTTATTGAATTTCTACTATGCAACTCTAGGCACTGAGAGAAATAAAAGAGAAGGTAGTCATATTATTCCTGCACTCCAGAGGAAAAAGAGTCTTTGTGGAACAATTACATGTGAACCCTGTGGCATGGATTCCTGATTTAAATAGGATTCTGCAGAATGGAAGTGTCCGTTTGAGCGGTGGGTAGAATCAGAACCTTGGCCAGGCTATCAGTGTGAGAGCAGATTGTGGAGAGCACTGAACAGGAATTTGAAGACTAAGAAAGTAAGGATTCACTACAGATTCTCAAATTGAGGGACGATCTTCAAAATTCATTCTTTTCAAAATAAAATTACAACCTTAACACACAGAATGGACTGGAAAGAAGACAGCTGCTGACATGCCGCAGGCCATGAAGGCCGGAGGATAGATGGAGTGAGAAATCATTTGGAGGTCCCTGGAGGCCTCCTTCTCCACCTTCCCACTGATTCTGAGTGTAGAAAAACAGACAAGGCTCCATTCCACCTCTAACGATTGCGTTTTAAATCACAGGATTTCGTCATAAAAAATACTTAGACAAGGAGGGAAGAAAGGAGGAAAAGAGGGAGAGGGGAGGAAAGAACAACAGCTCTTCTAGTTCTCTCACAGTGCCATCTGAGTTGTTTCTTGTCTGTATTTTTCTTTTGGATAGGAATTTGAAAGGACGATGTGAGTTAATATGGGCAATCATATTTCCATTCAGTATCAGATGCCCCCTCCACCTGTTCCCATTTTGCACCGTGATAAACCTCAGTCAACAGTCTCTTGCCGTGAGGAGTTAGCATTTGTCCCTTTGGGTTTTGTTGTTTGTCTCTGCTTTATCAAGTGTTGATATTGTGGCATCTTCTAGTTTAAACGTAACTTCTTTATAGAAGAGAGGTGATGTCGTGAAGATATTCCTTGCTTATTTAATTAGGAAATAGTGTCTTAGCCTCTGTGAGGAGAAATGTATTTGCATTTCAGATATGTTATTGATTTTTGTGATGTATTACACTTGTGCTGAACAGTAAATCCCATGCTCCCTCCTTAAAAAATTCTCTGTAGCTTGAAATGAAAATGTTTAAAATATCGTTAACCAGACTGCCTTACTTTCTGAAGACGCTTAGGCTCTCCTTAAAAACTTCATAGTCAAATACTGACTTTACTCATGCATCTTGTTATTTTGAGGTGAGGTTACTTGGCTGAAGAGCTGTATTACTGTTCCCAGCTCTGCTAGAACCCTTCCTGAATACTGTGCTCGCTTTTATAATTCACTTTTCTGCTTATAAATCGTTAAGGAGACACGTTAGAGTTACCATCCAGGCTTCCTCAGCTTCATTTTCAAAGCATTTCTTTACTTTGTCCCACATAATCAAGTTTTACTTTTTCAAAATCCTTAAAAAAAAAAAAAAATAAAGCAATGTCCTAACCTCTGGTGACTTTCCTACAGGCTTGCCTGTTGCCTGTTTGTGGAAAGAAGAGTATACTGAATGCATGTGACTTTGAAATCATAGAGATCTGAGAGCCAACAGTATATGACAACATTTACCAATCTTTTTGAAAATGTACTCATATCCCATCATGATTCATTGGCCAAAATTAAGATGGTGCCTTAACTGATGTGACTTTTTTGCAATTCCATCTGCCGAGATGGCTTCCGTCTCTTGTTGTTTCCCTTCCTTGCCACTTCCCTCCCTATTGCTCATTCACTCAGTCCACCTACTGTTGATATATTGATCACCTAGTGTTTGGTGGACAGGGGGAAGGCCTTGGGAATTTAAGATAAATAACGGGAGTCATGGGATTCGAATAGAAGTGCAACAGAGACCCATCTGAAGTCACAGGTTAGGCACCGGCATGGGAGCAGCCTCCAAGAACACGGGTGAGAGGAGGTTGGGAAAAGTCTTCATAGAGGCTGTGAGCTGGGTCTCAGAACCTCAGTTCTTTGTGTTGGGAGACTATCAAAAGAATCGTTTTGATCTGGTACATGAAATCTCTATATCATGCTTCTTAGTTCATTGATTAGAGCTATGTAATTGGAATTGATTTTTATTTTACTAGTCTTACGATAGTAAGAATTTGGGTCTCACTGTGTCTCAGTCCTTTGATTTTTTGTTACCCTAATTTTCTAATAGTAGGTGAAATATTTTGATCCTTGGTTTGTTAATGCTTAAGTTCTCTTTGCTTACTCTTAAGTTTTATGTCCAGATAACGCTGTTTTTCTGTGGAACATCCATTGTCATTGACATTCATTAGAATGAATGGAAAGTACTTTTGTATAGTACTTACAAAGATAAGGTGATAATTTGTTTTGTTCAAATTTACCCTTTTGATCCAAGTGATCTCAAAACAACTTTTTGAAGGGACAAATACTCTTTGATATTTGCTGCTGTATTTATATTTGATTATTATTATAAAGCATTCATCAAGAATATCACTTTTTAAAGTATATTGATGAACATAACTTTTTTTTTTTTAACATGTGTCAATTTTAGTTTCTAGGTTCTGTATGTTTTCACGTAATTAGAAGTTGGGATTACTTGCATTTAGAAATTTGTGAACAATGATAACTTCTTCCATAATGCATACTGATTATAATGCATTCATAATCTCTACAACTATATATTCAGTCTCTTTCAGTATTCACTGTGATTACTGAATTTCCTGCAGCTTTTATCAGCTTCGTTATTTAATCTCTTTGGATTTCCTTTGAACCTTCCAATA